ATTATTATTATTATTATTTTATGCAGGCAGATCGGCGCTATGTCACAGATTTTGATCCTGCCCCAATATTGACTTTAAACTTGGAAGATGATATTAGCTGACAAAAGGTCAAAATTATCCAGTTTTATCCACAAAATTAGGCTGACTGCTGCTAACAATGTCAAAACTGATAGTCAACAAACATAGATCTGTTAAAATCTAAAAAAATAAAATAAATTCTGAAACTTTAAAGGTGAATTACAATCGGAAGCCCCAGATAAGGAGAGAAAGGAGTCTTTGATGTAGCTACATATAGTGGCCTGCTTTGTAATTTATTACTCCTTTCCTTTTTTTTTTTTTGTTTGTTTATTGTAATTCTAAATTACCTAGTATGTTGATTCATTTTTGCGTTATTTTCTATTGATTTAATACTTTGTAACCCTGAATAGAAATCTGCAACATACCCAGCTATTTGTGGTTGCTGGCCAGGGAAGCAGTTTCTAGGGAAGTATATCACATGACTTCCATCCCTACATTCACCTAGGAAACCTGATGTTAGCACTAGGTAAGGAGTGAATGCTATTTTTGGACATTTTGTTTAACAGGGAATCTACATCAGGGCGAGTTGCATTCCCTCATGTTTTGTAGTGTGGATCAAATAAATAAACAAGCTTCTCAGATGTTTTCAGACACGAAAGTCAAACCAAGAACCAAGAACAGGAGTGTTACAACTTCAACCACATGCTATGATTTTGTCAAATACGATGCAATCCTTGATTAACATCTACAGTATGTTGATCCTGGAACTTTATTTATTTTTTTGTTCAAAAACGTAATCTATAACTATTCTTTTCTCCTAAACGCAACCACAACTGTAAAATTTTCCGAAAATCAAAGGGGGATAATTGTTAGATAACAATCATGTAGAAGTGCATAAACCCAACCGTAAGCCTAAACTTATATAAAACCTTATACAAAACCAAACCCTAAAGCTTATACAGTAAACAGTAATTTTATCCCTTAATTCTGGTTCAGTTGGAACAACAATTGGAAAGTAAGTTGGAAATTGGAGATTACTTTCCAATTGGAAAGTAAGTCACTTTCCAAAACCTTTTCATTTAATGTTCCTCGCTGGTGGAATGATCTTCCCATTCCGATGCAAACTGCAGATACACTGGTAATTTTCAAATGACAAATAAAGACCCATCTCTTTCAAGAACACCTGAACCCCAGTGAATAATACCAAAATGAAGCAATTTCTCTCACTCTCCTTCCCCCCTCTCTCTCTCTCTCTCAAAAAAAAAAAAAAAAATCCTACTCTAGCATTAAATTTTATGAGGACAAAGAAATTGAATAACTAGCACTTCTTGTATGTATGCATTACCTCTTCTTGTTGAATCGTTGAATACCTCCTCAATTGTAAGTTGCTGGGTTTTTTTCTTCACTCCCATCAGGTGAAGTTTTTTTTCCCTCTCCGCTGTCGCCACTGCCTCGCATGGTTCAGGATTGGTAGAGCTACGCATCAATGAATTGGCTCTTCAGTGTTTGAACTCTCAGTAATGATTAAATCACACTGAACTGAGCTAAACTGAACTGAACTGAACTTAAACACTAAAACCTGAACCACACTGTTCCAGTTACTGAACCACACTGTTCCAGTTACTATGACCATTTATGTGAAGCTGCTTTGACACAATCTACATTGTAAAAGCGCTATACAAATAAAGCTGAATTGAATTGAATTGAATTGGACAAAAGCGTCTGCTAAATGACTAAATGTAAATGTTCCAGCATCAACATAGATGTTGATCCAGAAATATGTCTCACTTGATGAAATCAGGTTAGGGACTTCAAGCAGCTCAGGAGAATGCTGAAACAGTTTGTTTAATGAGTAAAATGTATGCTGTATTGATTATGCTTGCTCTGATGGATCACTTCAGAAGGAAGAATCTTTACACAATCTTATTTGCTGTAATAATAAAAGAAAAACTCTATGATAGTATGATCAAGCCTTTCAGAAAAGAAAAAAAAAGTGTGATGACGGCAGTGGCGACGTAGTGGCGCAGTAGGTAGTGCTGTCACCTTACAGCAAGAAGGTCGCTGGTTTGAACCTCGGCTCAGTTGGCGTTTCTGTGTGGAATTTGCATGTTCTTCCTGCGTTCGCGTGGGTTTCCTCCGGGTGCTTTGGTTTCCCCCACAGTCAAAAGACATGCAGTACAGGTGAATTGAATAGGCTAAATTGTCCGTAGTGTATGAGTGTGTGGATGTTTCCCAGAGATGGGTTGCGACTGGAAAGGCATCCGCTGCGTAAAAACGTGCTGGATAAGTTGGCGGTTCATTCCGCTGTGGCAACACCAGATTAATAAAGGGACTAAGCCGACAAGAAAATTAATGAATGAATGATGACGGCAGCCAAAGAGAATAACGTCAAATGTACTGTCCTGCATTAGATGCTGCATTAGAAACACCTTGCATAAGCGGTAATTCGTTTTTGTAATTTGACGCAAAGATGATATAATACATTCATAAATGCATACAAATGTTCATATGTTTAAAAAAAAAAATCTAAATAATTAAAACTTTCAAGGATTTAAGATTATGATGACCACTAAACACATCATTAACTTGTAAAATAAGGGTTCATTGTCATTTAATCTGATTTCATGACATATGGCATCTTACAGTGTGACATGTGAATCATGTTCATACAAGCTACAATCATATAGGATAATTCAAAATTGCACAATGTGAGACAGGTTTTATTCCCACGCTAAAAGAACTATCTGAATCAAAGAAAACTTGGCAGGTATGATCATGGTTTTAAGTCAATTTCAGTTATTAAGTACAGTATCAGCTAGTCAATAAATCAATGGGTTTAATAATCTATATTCTGCTGTAATTTATCAGGAATCAATATCATTTTTTTATGTAGTATGGGGAGCAAAAAGTGCTTTTGACAATGTAATTATATAGGAGTTGCAAAACACCAGTAGCTGAACGAAGGATAATGAGAGGGTTAAGATGAGCTAACACCTGCATTTGACATAAAGCATCAAACCATATGAGTTAGCTGTACTCCACCAATATAATAAGAGGTTGGGATGAGTCATCAGATAATGGATGCAGGTGTTTGGGAAAGGTCCAAGAAAAAAGGCCAAGTAAGGCTGTGGTCACACAAAATTTTGACCCTATGAATTTCTGTCTTACAGCGCTGCAAAATGGGGTGGTATTAAACAAGATGATTAGACATTAAAATATAGACATTTTAATTTTCCGTACACAGAGGTGATGTTTTGATCTTCTATTGATCTCATGCCATCACGTGCAGCAGTTTTGCAGATCAAAGTTCACTAAGCTTAAACTTGGCAGTGCATCAATCTGTGAAACATTTCGCATGAGCTTTCTTTTCCAGTCTGCAGCATTTGCTTGTGTATGAAGGGAAGTCTATAGGGTGAAAATTGCAGTGTGGTCGCAGCTTTAGAGAGTTAGGGTACAGTAATACTGAGTTCCGCACAATCAATTTGAGTTGTGACATCATAAACAAATTAAATATTTAATTAGTTTTTACAAATTTAAGTGAATTGAACAAAAAACAATTAAGTTTCTCCAAAAACTCAAGAACTGTGTTGTTTCAGCTCAATTTAAATAAGTAGTTTGAACAAACAGCAAATGTAATTTTTTGATAGTAACACTGGTTTGGTCTCATAAAAAATTATAAGGAAAAAGCTATAAAGGACGATCTGCAAACAGATCTGAACAGAGGTGATGGTGTAAAGTCTTGCAGACCATAGACTGATTTCACATGGTCACCCTTTTAAAGGTGAAAGCGAGGCTGCAGTGGGAAGTAAGAAGTATCACCTGGAGTCACACAGGAACGATGTCCACGTCTTTGTACCTGGCTGTATATCTTATCAGCGAAGAGAAAGTGACACAAATTTATAATTTCACCACTTTCCGAGTGACCCAATAGTGAAAATAAAAGGGATATCGGACCTCATTTTCAGCTAAGTTAAGGGAAATGGCACCAGCTAAAGTTCACTTTTCTAAACTTGTTTTAGATATCATTCATCAAACTCAAGTCATATAGAGTGAAAGAATCAGTTCAGTAACTTGTCACTGTCCTGAATTTTGGTACTGAAAAAAAAAAGACAATTTCCTGCTAACATTTAACCACCGTTGAGCGCTTTTTTTAACACCGCTGATTTTCCATAGCATTCACCAGTGCTCAACAGAAATGATTGTGATTGGCTGTGAAGGTCATCAGTTCACTGCTCTTTGCAGATGTTTACAGAGTGCATGAATAAATCCGCTGATGAATCAACTGATCTTCATGGATTTTTAACGTTCCAGTGTCCGTGTATCTGTTTGCACTCAGGGAAGAGCAGTGAACTGATGACTTTCAAGGCCAGACACAGTCATTTCTGTTGAGTACTGGTGTTAACAGCGCTTAAATGTTAGCAGGAAATGGATGTTTTTAAAATGTTAGTACTGGCACTAACACTATTACAGATAACACGAGGGTGTGCTAAATTAAATTAAACTTAACTAATTGACATTAAAGTAATGTTTACACCATTTCTGCACTTTGAAATCGCGGCAACAGCTAGAGGTTTGTAGTCCACAGCATGTTGTTGCAATGTCTACAGTGCTGACCCTATACTTCTTTTCTTCCTACTCCAGCCTCAATTTCGTTTTCTAAAAATGCGGTAGCATGAAATAAGCGTATTGTCTCTCTCAAAGCTGTTATGATAACTGGAACTCTTTGAGAAGATCATTATAGATTCCACAACAACACAACCTATCAAATATAACTACTTTTCTCAAGAAATTCTTTACGATAAATGCATCTATGAAAAAAAGAGTATGGTTTAAAATGAGACACTGTTACTAGCATAAACATAACTCTGACAGCAACCAACCAATCAAAATAAAATATTCCAAAGACATATCAGTGAATGCTCACTTCCACAGCTGATTGTAACATTGATTTACTTGATCTCTCTCTCGTTCTCTCTCTTTAGTTGTGGTGGTATTAGTGTTTGCCATCTGCTGGGCTCCGTTCCACATCGACCGGCTCTTATGGAGCTTCATCACCAGTTGGACAGACCACATGCATAACATCTTTGAATATGTGCACATAATCTCCGGCGTGCTCTTCTACCTCAGTTCAGCTGTAAACCCCATAATCTACAACCTGCTTTCCAGCCGCTTCCGGGAACGGTTTCAAGCGCTGGTGTGCAGTCGCCTGTCAACTAGATCCTCACGTAATGATTCCATGCCTTTTTACATCATACCCAAAGACCCCCCGACTGATTTCAAACGGACTGGATAAGAGCAGGAACACACATGGCCTTTTCCTTTTGTCATTATCAGCAGCGGGAGGAAGGGAATGAATGAATGATATGCTTTGATGTGAGACAACATACTCTGCGCACTCACACGGCATTGTGCTATTCACTCCAAGAATAGAAACAGAAGATGTGAAGCATGCCTGTAAACACTACGGTATTGACTGAAACCACATGTTAATGGACAGGTAAATGGGTTTGGATTGATATGGACTTGGCCTTTGGAAGATGATGATTAAACAGCACGGTCGTGTCATCAAAATTTAAAGTATGAATGAAAATGAAATACCGTTCTGTAGGAGTGCCTATTAAGCCCATTCATGGTCAATATTGCAGTTCCATTAGTGGAAAGAACAAGCAACAACAAGGTCATTGAATCATCAGATGACAAAATGCTACTATGCATCCAATTAAAGATGAAACTGAACAATTGTTTAAAACACATGGATTGAGGTCTGTATCAAATCTTCTGTATAATTCTGTTTGTGTCATAAGGCAAGTCAAGTTCAGCTCCTCTATAATTCTAATATAGGCTCATTCTGGAAATGTAGAGTTGCTGGAAATTACGAATTATGTATCCAGAGCTACGCATGGCTGCATTTCATCTTTAAAATGAACTCTACGTAGTGGTATGATGCCATTCCTTTTTGCGCTTACTAGATCACTGCTTACCTGCATGTAGACTGCTTTTCTGCCGTTACCAGTTTGTCTGGTAGCTTAACACATACGCCGGCGTACTTGAGATGCAGAGAAAAGTCGACCGCGACGATGGGGTTTGAATTTGGTGAAGAACAGTTGCAGAATGCAGATCAGACAAAAACAGAATCCAAAAAATAAAATAAACACGTAAATAAAAGGGTGTGAATGTGGTAAAATATAAAAATGTGGTAAAATTAGGGGGCTTTTCTTTTTCTGGATTGCTTTTGAAAACACTGCGGTTGGGTTTAGAGAAGAGGGTGGGCGCTGGCCAATATGTGCTTTTTTAAAATACTATTGGGTCCTGTTTACTGCCAGTTAAATATGACCCAATTTAGATTTTTTGCTCAAATGTGACACAGATCGGATCTGTTCTATGACTGTGTAAACACCAAAACAAAAATGCATGCATTCGGATATTCAGATATCAGTTTCAGGCCTCCTTCATTTGTGGAAATAAATCAGATATTAATGGGATATGTGACTATGCGACCATCATGTAAACAGGCAGATCAGATTTATTGAGGCATTCCATTTTGTACGTCATTAAACTTGCGTCAATATGGTACTTCTCCAAGGTTTAATGACGAAGAAGGAAGGTGTGTGAAGATGCCAATGCGGTAACAAAACAACAGAGGAAACATGGAGGAGGAAAGGGGTCAGTCCCCACTATTTGCTCCCATTAGACATGAGATCTCTCTCGTACCCACAAATTCCTCTGAATGGTGGAAGACATCATATGTAAACTATAGGTGCAAGCTGCGATGACGGCCCTTTTCTTCCTCCTCCGCCTCAAAATCATTTTAAAGTTGGCCCAACTTTGCATATTTCGCAGAGCTGAAAGAAAGACAATTTCTTTCATTGTGACTAGTGTGGTGCAGATGCTAGAACCCGCTGTAAATATAGTATACTATAGCAAGTGTAAACAAATTAATTGGATATGGGTCACAGTTAAAAAAACATGTAAGCAGACAGGCAAAAAAAATCAGATATACTGTAGGCAACAAATCAGAATTGGGCATCAAGACCTAACTGTAAACGAGGTCTTGGTTGTGTTTAGGGAAAAGGGAGGGGGAGGGTATCATTCAGTTGGTCAGTCAGTCAGTCAGTCAACAGCGGCCTCTAGTAGATTTACACGAGAACAGCAGGCACGATTTGCACATTACAATAATATATATAGGGGTACGTAATCACAATGAGCCTGGGTTGTCTAATTATGCTTTATTCATTAAGATGATGCATTAATGTAGATTACTACACTGTTACTAGAATGAATAATTACACAGTATTTAGCTGAAATATGAACTGTATTTTACTGTTGGACAGTTATGCTACTGTAGCATGTTACTGTATTTTATGGGCATATTTTAAAGTCATTGTGAAATTTACTGTATATTCTACAGTAAATACAATTCTGTAAATGCATATACAGTAAGATAAATGGCGCCGTAAATGTAAATACAGTAAATAATCTATCTATCGTATAATATAATAAGAGGTGAGTCAATAGATAATAGGAAAGGTTCAAGAAAAATGCGAGTTTTGTTTTCATTTTCGATTGGACTTTGCAGGTCAGAGTTCAGCAACCTTTGCAAGGTAGCGATATAAAAAATATCTTTTCACACAAGCTTAACTTTCCGGTCTGTAGCATTTGTATGCGTATGAATGGAAGTCTACAGGACGAAAAGTGCAGTGTGACATTGGCTTTAGAGAGTTGGGGTGCAAAAAAACTGGGTTCCACAATCAATTTCAGTTAGTTCAACAGTTTTGCAGCGTGTTGCTGTATTTTAAAGTGGCATTGTAATAATTACTGTATATCATACAGTAAAGATATACATGTAGTTCTGTAAATACATGTACCGCAAGATAAATGGTTGTGTAAATATAAATAATTTTTTTTCTGTAATTGTTTTAGAGTAAGTTACTGGCGAAATCCTGCCTGTAAGTTACTGTAGATTTTACAGGACAGTGTATGTATGTATATATGTATGTATGTTTGTATGTTTGTATCCATCCATCCATCCATCCATCCATCCAAGGAAAGAAAAAAAAAAGAGTCTGTGTCATTTAAAAAGTCACATGTTGTATATTATATGCCATTTGACAATATCCGTTCCAAAACAAGCGCTGTCAGTCTTGATGGGAACGAGCTGCTCTTTTTGTCATTTGTGTCATAAACAGAGGGAAAACACACATCGCTCCCTTGATTTATTTTTCTCCAGCACTAGAGAGGAAGCAGCACACTTCACACCAGAAGGGAGTCATCAGAAAAACACACAGTACAATAAGTGCAGCACGACTCGTTAATCTTACAGACTATTATGAGAAAAGTGTGTATTTTTATGCTTCAATTAACTGTAGGGGCTTGTGCGGTACGAGAATGTAATGTGCCAGGACAATTCTGGCTTAATTGTCGCAATTACGGACTTTCATTGTTGGTTTAGAAATGTAAGTGTGCCAAAAGTGCTTTACTAGAATACTGTATTATGAGAATAGGAATATTTCTAGTAACGGTGGATTGTGACTCTTCTGGCTTTACTTTTAGATGAAGTGAACGTTGCTCGTTATTGGTTTCTTTTCCATTCTACTGACCTTGGCTTGTTGACAGTTTAATCTAGCAGCTTCATCCTACTGTGACATAAATAAGAGGTGAACGGGTAGCTGTCTTGAGGGAAGATTTTGATAAGTGTAATTTATAGTACATGAGAGAGAGAGGAGGGAGAGGGGGAAATTAATAAGCGTAACACTAATATCATAAATGAAACAAAAATACTTTGCAATTATAACGCATATATGTTGCACTATATATTAAAAAGCTGTCAGTTTTAGAGTGCGTCTTCATAAATAATGTTTTCCTCCTAATAATACAATTATGAGTCTATTGATACATAAAGTGTTGTGTGTTTGCCTGAATATTGCTGCTGTATTTTTGTTGTAAATAAATGTATTTATTCTGCTGTACAAACTAAGCCTAAGCAAATAATTGTGAAAAAATAAACTTAATTGCCTTCTCACATAGTTTCTTCTTTCTTTCTAGGTGTTATCTTTTCACAAACACATTTATAAAGAGAATGAAAATGATTCATGAAACGAGGGGTATAACTCAAGAATTTTGAAAAAGCAAGATCACGTTGTGGATTTTTCAAAATAGGCTCATTCTAAAAATGGTACCCTTATTTACATTACTGGAGATCACGAATTACGTAGCCAGAAGTATATATGGCCGCATTCTGTCTTTAAAATGAATGCTACTAGGCGGTATTATGTTGGTTTTTTGCGCTAGCAGCAAACCGCTTACCTCCATATGCATGCCGTTTTTACGTTGTCCACTGACTTAAGCAGAGAGGAGTTTACTGATGACAAAGGTTCGACCGCTTTGAAGAACAGTTCCAGAAAGCAGGTAACACAAAAAACGAAAGCCAAAAAATAAAATAAATAAGTAAATAACAGGGTGAGAATGTGGATAACTTTTTAACAACTATTGGTTTGTTTAGGAAACTTGGTAAGGGGGTCAATCGAAGCGTTTGAAAACACTTGGTTCGGTTTAGGGAAGTGGGTGGGTGTTGGTCAATCATTGGTTTGGAAAAAACTCGGTTCGGTTTAGGGAAGTGGGTGGGTGTTGGTCAGTCATTACTATTTCAAACACTCAGTTCAGTTTAGGGAAGTGGGTGGGCGTTGGTCAATTAGTGCTTTGTAAAACACTATCAGTTGGGTTTAGGGAAGGGGGCAAGTGGGGTAATCAGTCAGTTGACATCAGTCAGTCAGTCGACATCGGCCTCGGGTTAATTTATGCTAGACAAGCAGGTGCAAATGCCACTTGCAAGAAACATTTGAGATTTCAAAAAGTATACACAGCAGCCTCTGGTGGATTTGTGAAAACAAAAACTGCAAAAAAAAAAAAAAAAATGTAGCTCCTGGGATGTATTTGATACAATTAGATAAACTACACCTGCTTCACATGCAAAAACAGTCCTCATTGGTTCTTACAGAAGCTCAGATATACCATGTGACATGCAAGAATGAACCTCATTGGTTCTCACTCATAAAGCAAGCTGCTTGAGCGTCCATTAACACATCTCACAAGCTGTAAACACTGTTTACTGATCATTTATATGAGTACTGTATTTTTTCAGAAATAGGTGGACAGAAATATCTTAGATTTGATTAAAAATGTCTCATTTATTTTCAGAAGATTGGAACGACATGAGGGTGAATAAATCAGCACAATTTTAAGAAGCACAATAATATTATTATAATATTAATCAGAAGTGGTCAGTGTGGTCACACTAAACTTCCACTCATGCTTCCAAAACACTGGAGACCGAAAACCCAAGAATAAAGTCTAAAAGTCTGAAATTAAAATGCTTAGACATGAGTTGTATAATTTACAATCAATATGACTGTCATACTTGGTCTTTTTGAGGAGTTTCGTTGACCTTTTGATGATTAATAATTCAAGATGTTCATGCTCCCACATAGAAAAGACGTAATTTGCATAAAAGTCTATTTGGTCATAAAAAACTGCAAATTCGGTTTCAATGGCACAGAAAATGCAAAAAGGAGACCAATAAAGAGATAACATTTTACAATGACGTTGCATTAGTTTATGGTAGATAATATATTTACTAACATGAACAATAGGTTAGTCAATGAAAATGCAGTTAACAATGCTAGTCTAGTCGACTTTACATTTTATTAATGCAATAGTAACTGTTAAATGTGTATGTACAAGTATTGTTTATTTTTAGTTTATGTTAGTAAACACATTAACTATTGTGAAGTATGTCCAATAAACTTAACTGGGCCTCCATAAAGAGCCTGTTGTGTTAATAATGACATATTGCTTCAAAAAATCATTCATAGTGTTAGATTCATACGAATACAACATTCAATATGTTTTTTATACATGTATGCATACATAGGAAGAACATCGAAATCTTTATGGACATAAATGTGCAAAAATAGGTTATTCCGAGATCCTCACAGGGTAAACAAGCTATTTTTCGGGAAAACAATGTGGTAAACATCATCTGTTATCACTTTCTCTCCAAGATAAAGTTCTTTCATAAATAAACTGTATCATCCTCAATTAGAGAAGGTGGGTTTGCGGGATATTCTAATCACATTATATGTGTTGAGCCCTGGAGCATCAAATCCTGGAGATACACCTTTCTTATCAAAGACGTAAAAGTTAAAAAGCTGCCCATCTTGGGCTTCGAGGGATACAGATGCAGTGTTGACACGTAAAACGCAGGGATACTCCTTCTCGAAAACGACTCTAAATACCCGTTCCACTAGGTAATTCAATTTTATGGTCCGGTAACGCTCCGGGATGAGATCCTCAATTTGAGGTCCAAACTGCTGCATGATCAAGACACCATCTGGCCCTGCTTTAATCTCATAAAACGTGATGTTGCCGTAAGTGTAAAATCCCACATAGGGTGCAGGATCTGGAGGAGGAGTAAGATACCGCTTGGCCTCCCTAAACGCCTTCTCCATTGCAGGAATGATGTAAGAATAAGCCTTCGAAATAATATCCTGGTTCTGCGGCCGCGTTCCTGCCATTAACACAACCAATCCAAGCTTAAGCCGAGGCACCAGAGAGAATGTAGCGGAGTAGCCATCCAGATCGCCATCTTTACGTAGTACCTCATATCCCTTCTGTTCGTTGACCTCCCATGGTGTACCTGTGCGATTGGCGAAGTAGTCTTTGTCACAGCGAAACACAGGGGTTAGCATGATTTTCAACGTGTCGGGTTCCAATATTTTGCGATGATACGCTCCCAATAACATCATTGATAATTTTGCCAAGTCAGCAGCAGTCGAATACATCTGTCCTGACGGGCGATACCAGCCCAAATCATAAAGGGGCGCCGGTTGGCCACTGGCGTACACACCTACAGCCATTTGACTTTGGATGCCAGGGTTAATGTCAAACCCAGTGTCCTCCATTCCCAACCTGCTGAGAATGTTATCTGTGACCCATCTCTGGTAATTGACACCTGCAACCCTCTCAGAAAGGATATGGGCAAGCAAAGAGAAGGCCAGATTGCTGTAGTGGCACCTAATAGAGAAATCGAAGAGAAAAGTTTATTAGGCCTTCTTCAAGGAAACTTTATTTTGATGGTCCATTTTGCACATTTTGTTGAATTTAAATGTAGCTACATAGGAACTTTTTTTTTTTCATTAGAATATTAGCAGATTATTTTCTTGACATTTGCTGACACTGCTCCATCATAAGACTTTCTCCTGCCTACAAAAAACTTTGCTGGAAACTTTTTGTTAACTTACACTAACCCTAACCCTAATCCACACCTTCTTAACTTTACAGTGTACTTATAGTCTAACTCAGTGTTATGATTTATGTTTTTTTTTTTCCTGTTTTTTTTCACCCTCCTCTCCGTTTGCTCAACCCTAGGTTTCTTATTGGTTTATTATTCTGTCCATCATCATTATGACGCTCTCCGGTTCCACCAATCCCAGGACGAGCCGCAAGTATTTAAAGCCCTGTCAGTCCAGTGTGTGGTGTGCGCCCTGCCTCGGCGTACCCTTTGTGCTCCACGCAATTTGTTTGTGCAAATGCTTCGTCTATTTTGTGATCTCTCAGTTACTGTGATAATTCGAGTTGCTTGTTGAACTTTGTTGGCTTTAAGTAACATATGATGATGGTTGTGTGATTCTAAACTAAGATTTAACGGACTTATCCGGTTTGTTTTGTTTTAGTTTAGATTGATGTTTTGTTAGATTAGTTTGAGTGTTTTGCCACCCGTGTATTTTTGAGTTTTGTAGTTTGATTAGTTTAGTTCGGGTGTCGTACACACTGAAGATCTCGGTTTTTTATTTGTGTTTCTTTTTTGACGCCTAGTTTAGACATTAGATTTAAGGATTGTTTTGTTTTGTTAATTTCTTTGATTTGGCTTACACTCGTTGTTCTTGTTTAAAGATAATAATTATAAATGTTTGTTTGTTTTTTCTCCCCCATTTATTATTGTTACATGTTTCAATTCAATTATAGAGTAAAAGCTTTAAATGAGAGTAACTGAACCTTGCCTCATTATTGATCTGTCGCACACATTACACCTGTCTCACTTAAATGTTACAGCATCCCATTTTAACATCATAAAACACGTAACACTCAGAATTAGGATGCTTTCACACTAGCATTTTTGGTCTGCACCTGAGTTCATTTAAGGTCAGATTTCAGTACGTTTAGATTGACGGCTGTCTTCTGAGCTCAGTTGCGCACCCACAAACCATACTCAAGTCTGCCTTAAAGAGGTGGTTTTGGATACGGTTCACCTGAACTCTGGTCTGGTTGACTTTTCATATAAATGCAATAGTACCAAATAATGGAAGTCAACCACCAACTGTTAAACAAATTTTTGTTTTCCTAACATTAATTTGTGTGTGCATACAGTATCTCTGTGTATCACGCAACATTACCTAGGGAACATGCGGGACTGACCCAGTGCAAACACATTGATAATGTCTGCTTGTGTCTTCCAAAAATAACTTCTGCAGACATTGCGTGATGTTTTAAAGGTTTTTAATATTTCTGCAGCAGATAGACGCAAACCGCTCTCTGTATGTTCCCAAAACCAAAACATTCAGTAAAAGCAGAATGACCGTAATGTGCATACTTATTTCCATTTTGGCACCTTGACTTTCATGTTGCAACAGCTGTACACACAACAGTAGCTCAATGACGCAAGCGTACCAGAGTTCAGAAAGAAAAAAGACGGTGTGAACACAGACCAGCTGAGAACGTGGAGGGAGGGAGCAATCAAACTTGGGTTCAGACCAGGCTATCAAAGTGTGAAAGCATCCTTACACTAACCCTAATCCCAACCCTCCTGACCTTACAGTCTACTTACATTCTAAACTAGGGTGCTTTCACACTAGCACATCTGATCCGCACTCAGAGTAATTTGATGTCAGAGTTAGGTATGTTTAGCTAGTGTGAGCGCTGTCTTCTGACCTCGGGTGCACACCTGGGAACTGTACCTGAGCCCATCTGAAAGAGGTGGTCTGGGGTAGGGTACGCACAAACTCTGGAACGGTTCAATTCTGATGTGAATGCAAACATATCAAATAATGGAAATGAACCACCAACTTCACAACAAACATTAGTTTTCATAACGTTCATTCGTGTGTGCATGTCTGTGTAGCACCTTGGTAACAAAACCAAAAGATTCAGTAAAAGCAGAATGACAGTAATGTGCTTACTTATTTTAATTTTGGTGCCTTGGCTTTCATGGCCATCACCTGGCAATAGCGGTACACAGAACAGCAGGTTGATGAGGCAACCGTACCGGGGTATAGAAAAAAAAAAAGACAGTGCCAACACAAACCAGTCAAGAAGTTGGCAAGAGGAGACAATCAAACTTGGGTTTGGACCAGGCAATTGAACAAAGTGTGAAAGCACCCTTAGATGGCATATTGTTGCAACTTATAATCAACAAAATGTGTGTAAGTGCGCCATGGGGCAGTTTCCGACTCATGCTGCACACAGTCGACCAATCACAACAGATCTCATCAGACCAATCATTGCTAATTAGCATCCCACAAAGGAGGGGTTTGGGTTTTGAAATGAATCGCTAAACAATTCATATGTCAGTTGTTGAGATAATTAGGTAAAAATAAATGCGTATTAAGACTATGAAAGTGTTTTTGACCTTGTATGCATATCAGGCCATTGTTGGGGACCACCAAAACCAACTATGACATTTTATAATGCACATTTGAGACACTTTAAAGAGACCATCCAAATAAAACTTTACCCTTCTTTTCTCAAATGTACCTTAAAGGAATGTTATTAAGAGACAGTAAAAAATCTATTATCATCATCATCATGGTCTATAAGCTTTTCAATGGGGCATACATGAGATAAGGATAATTTAAAGTATCTGGCAAGAACAGATAACCAGCTAAAATAAATTTGGCAGAAACGTACTTGGTCCCCGGATCTGCTACGAGCACATCATCTTGTAGGAGGTTGATTGCAGTCTTGGTCTTGCCTTTCCACAGTAAGTTAGTCCCACGGAGTCTTCGAGGTAGACCTGGGGACAATCCAGTAGGAGAGTAATGAATAATTAGGTTGTTTTTATGCCCAAAGGAATGTTATTGCTCATTTAAAAAGCTATTTGTTTTAGTCATATGAAAGTTTGCAGCTTAGGGAAATTGATCTTTTTTTAAACAAGTCAAAGCAAACAAATTATGCATAAATGTTCAGAAAACCAAACTTTCAACAAGGAAGTGGCTTGAAAACAGTTTGTCAGGAAATCATGATCTTGATTCTATGATCTATCGATTCTTTAGGTCATTGTGAATCTGAATGTCATCATAAACTGTAAAATCTTTGTGAAAAAAGTGGTTCAACATATTAGCATAGACCTTTGTAGAAGGTTATCATAGGTTTAGAAATAACAAAACAACAGATATAACAACCTTTGATATCTTTCAGAAATGTGTTTCTTTTTCTAATTTAGCTGATATTGAGGATTTTAAACTTGTTTTATGTTTGGCAGACAATTAAAGTGATGTAAAATGGCAAGTAGTTTTTTCCTCCTCCAGTCCACCTACAAATCATTTCAGAAGAGACTGAGTTGCACAGAAATAACTGAACAAAAATTTTATTCACTACTGTTAATGAGAACCAAACAATCATATTCGAAATTGCTCTGTTGTTGTCTTTTATGTTAAATTAGCATCCTAATCAGAGACTTCTAATCAGAGATTTCTTCTAACAAAGCTCCAAAAACACTTTTGTGTAAAAAAAAAAAAAAAAAAAAAAAACTGTAAACATCTTCTCCCTGCCTCAGGTCAGTAGTCCGCAAGCACAAGCATAGAATTTTTTGTAGTAAATTTGATGTGGAAAACATTGGTAAACATGGTTTTTACTGTTTTTTTTTGTACAAAAAGGTTTTCTTGGAGCTCCGTACTACTGAAATGACAATGTTTTAAAACTGTTATTGGTTTATTTTCTGAACTTTGAACATCTTTGGACAGTTGCTGTCTATGAAGGTTCTCAAATTTCATCAAAAATATATTCATTTTTGTTCAGAAGAAGAATGAATGCTTTAGAGAATGGGAACAACATGAGAATGAGTAATTCATTTTTTGGTGAACTATCCCTTTAAACAAAAATGGATTGCCTGAGCATAAAAAAATATTGAATTATCAGATATTTGGCTTAAACCCTGTCCTGTCCAATCAACAAGAGTCAATATGGATAAAGAAAAATAAATGCATGAAGGCTCTTCAGGCTTCTATTGAAGGATTGAAGGTGTTTACAGCAAATATAAGTCTCAAAAAGTAGCAGCATTTGAGTAAGCGCAAAAAGTGCACATTTACTCTTGAGTCTTTAAGGCATAGCATGAAAAATGGCTTGCTTAATTTTGAAGCCTAAAGTTCTAAAACATATTTTTAATGCACTTTATAAAGCTGTGCTGGAGGCCCCCAAATGCTACGGATCACGTATGCCTCACTTCCACTCTTGAATATCTCACCAATTAGTTTTTCCAAAGCCACACTACTGCCTCAGCCTTCTGTCAGAGGCAATGTAACAACAACAACTGATTTAAAGAGCCCATATTATACATGAAATAGGGTCATATCCTGGTTGTAAGGGTCTCCAACAACAGTCTAATATGCATGCAAGGTCAAAAAACACTTTCATGGTCTTATAATCTGCATTTATTTTTACCTAATTATTCCAGCGACTCCTGTATGAATCGTCCAGTGATTCATTTGTTCCCAAACCCCTCCTTAGCGCGGAGCTAATCTGCGCTGATTGGACCGATGACAGTCTGCTGCGATTGGTCGACTGCCTTCAGTCAGAGAGGGAAATGGCCAATAGCTAATCAGCAATTTAAAAAGTAATCACAGTTCATACACGCTCGATAGTGCAGACGTGGATTTTAGCTGCCACACTATGGCGAGTGGATAGTGCCACGGATAACCGAACGAAGGAGACAGTCGTGTACTGGCCATACCACACACACACAAAAACACACACACACCTCCGGATGACAACGCTCCCGCTTCCGCCCGCACCCGCCAGGTTTTAGCCTGAGAACCCGCTCCGTTTTCTGCCCGCCGCGCCCGGTCCCGCTAGAGCGGAGAACACAACCAAAAATCACCCAGTATACAGTCCAGACAGCCAAGCTGTCGTTCGTTCGCTCGCTCTCTCGCTCTCTCTCTCTCTCTCTCATACGCGCGCGTGCGCACTAACACACACACAAGCACCACGCAGACTCTCTCTTTCTAATTCGCATAGCAATATCCGTGATATTGCTAGACAGCCCGCTCCCGTCCCAAATTAAACCCGTTACCGACCGCTCCCGCGATTTATTCGGAAATTTATTCCCGCGGCTGTCCCCGCGCCAGATTTCTGCGGCGCGGGAATAAATTTCCGAATAAATCGCGGGAGCAGAACTCTAGCACGGAGCTCCATAAACAAACAGCACGCGTCGCGTTTTTAACGTGACTTTGCACGCGATAAGATAAAATATCCAGTTAACCTGATACAGTACACGCGGTTACAAGTAACAAATCACAACTAAATACATTTGCAAGCTAGAGTCAACGAGGCAACAACTTTAACCGCACGTACTTACACTTGAGAAATGGAAGAAACCCATCCTGATGTCCATCAGTAAGTTACTGATCCTTCCTTTAACAAACGCAGATGAAGTATTCTTTGTAGCATGTAGCTTCCAGAAGTTTCCAGTAGTTTCCAACTGCTTGGCTATAATGCTGAGGTTTCATCTTTGGGTAGAGACTCAATATATCCATCTGCAATGTGACTTCAATCGACCGGCATGTTTGTGTGCGTGTGTTTGTGGGTGTGTGCGTGTGTTTGTGGGTGTGTGTGTGTGTGTCTGGGTTACTGCGTCAGAGGGCGGGGCCTCAGGTTTGAAATCTCCCGGGTTTGCGCGTGCACGTGAAAAACTTTGTTTCGTTCGTACGTCATGGCGAAACACCTAATGAGTCGGTATCAAGGCGACTCGTTTGAAGCACTATGAATCGACTCTTTTATAGATGAATCAACAGTTTTAAACACTGTATTCTTACAGATTTAAGCCTTAGCTGGATACTTCACTTCACTTAGAGCTGTGTTACACACTACATGGAGGGGAATTTTCAAAAACCCATAATATGGGCTCTTTAAAACTGATATGATCTTCTTAAAGGGATAGTTTACCTCAAAATGAAAATCACTCATTTACTTATCCTTGTGTAGTTTCAAACCTTTATAAGTTTCTTTTTTTTCTGTTAAAAACACAAATGAAGATATTTTGAAGAAAACTGAAAACCTGTAACCACTGTGGCTAGTAGTTTTTCAACATTACTAGCCACTTGCTATTTTCACTAGCCACAATTTTGTTTTTGGCAAAATTTATTTTATATGCATAAATTTGACTTTGGCATGTTAAAATTACTTGATATAAATTTTGTGTTATGTCCACATGCCTTCTTAACCTTTTTATTTACATGACTTTTAGGGCTCAACACTAAGGATTTACCATGTTTTTTCTCTGGGCACACCAAACTAATTATTTTCCTGCAATAAAAAAAACAAAAACAAAACAAAATGTGTGTCGTTCACAAACAAGCTAAATATAGCTGTATACATACACTTTTTATTCAACAAAAATGCTCTTAAAAAACAATTGACATAAAAAAAAATCTCATTATCTAAAACTATACACAGTATTTTTTCCAGGCTAAAAGTCCCAGATCATTGGGCAACTATAAATGGAGAGTTAATCTAGTAATAAAACAATGTTATTATGAAGGATGATAGCTAAACCATATTAACAAAAATAACTGCAAGCAAAAGAAAGCAGGTGGAAAAACATTCTACGTGCAATAGTGAAAGGGCGATCACGTACACACACTGTTAATGTTAGGCCCATTAATAATCTGTTCAAAGGATAGTAAAAGTGAAAGCAGCAATCGTTGATGCATACAAAAAATCTAAAGCTTTTTAAAGCAGCACGACCGTGGGTGCACAAGCACTGCTTTTTTTCCCATGCGCCTTACCATGCGCCTGATCATCCTCTCATTTGGTATTCACCTGCTTTCTTTTGCTTGCGCGTAAAGTTATCAATCATTCTGCTTCTCGGTTCTAAGAGCACATTAGCACACATATTGACAAACTGTCATAAACTAGCATTCTAATATTTAGGGACGAGGCAGCTCTGGCAGTTTAAAAATTATTTTCAACCAGTCAAAGTGCCTAGTAGGGGTGTCTGTCTAAATCGCCACAGCTAAAACCTACCCGCATTTGGTGAGCTGGCAGGTGTTAATGTCAAGCCCTGTACAGTAGGAAAAACAAATACTATGGAAGTAAGTGGTGACAGGTTTTCAGATTTCTTCAAATTATCTTTTGTGATCAACAGAAGAAAAATTCAAATAGGTTTTAAAACAAGTTGAGAAAGAGTAAATGGTAACCTACTTGTAATTTTAGTGTGAACTATCCCTTTAAATGTCTGTGTTTTAAGAGCAAGTTTCTGTTTTGTGTTCTTGTGTAACAGACAATATACTTCCTGCGTCCTGCAAGATTTTAATTTATATTAGCTATTAAATTGTCACCAGCTGGCGTTCTATAAGACAGAACAGCAATCACACACATTAAGCGAAGCTGTATTCTGCTGGTCTCTACAGGTACATTACTTTCATTACTGTGAAGTTACAATAAATGGGTTCTGTTTGTAATTCTGAGCTCTTGAGTTGGTTCCACTATATTTCCAAGCTCAACACCAGCAATTGAGGGCAAACAGCGGGCCGTCTTCTGTTCAAAGAAACATTCATTTGACCTGCTGCTATATGGTGAGCACATGCTGTGAACAAACACTGTTGTTATTCCTCATTCAGTGATTGTGCAAATAATCTCATCGCAAGGCTGGAAGCTGGAAACTCACCAGAAAGCTGGCTGGCCATTCTTCTTAATGTTACTGAGGAGGATCGGATTTGGACCTCACCGCTGTCAAGGAAGATCAGCCCATCTGTGACGTATTTGAGCTCAGAGTCTCTGCTTTTACCCAGGGGGTTTTTAATGGTGAAGTTGTCCACATATTTTTCCAGCGGGTCATCCAGGGAGCCCACCTTGCCATCTTCCCATAATCGATACAGCATCAGGGTGGGAAATATCTTGGATACACTGGCAATCCTATGGAATAGATGAACACAAAAGATTCATACATTTCAAGTATTCAAAAGCTGCACCAAATATGATTTTTATTATTTATGACTATAATCAAGCTATGGAAAAAATAACAACAGCTTCCGCAGCAATGAAATTCGGCATTAAAGTTGAATAATTCATCGCAGAAATACATTCGAATGGCACCGCTTTGATTAACCATATTTCTACTGTTGCCATCAGTCGAGCAAAGCGAGAATAAATCTGTTCTGACTCAATATAGGTTTTATTTTTTTATGTTTGAATAAAAATGTCAAACATTCAAAATGCTTTCTGATTATTTTATACTCTGTGACTTTGCTTGCTCTTGAAAACGCTTTTAACAAATCCTGACCTGCTTAGTGGTTTTGCTTTACGTGACACTGATTGCATTGTCAACATGATGTGCGTCAGAACTTGACACAGAATGTGGCCTTGAGTTGTTTACGAGCTCAATCTCAGCCTTTTGAACTATGAAAATGACATATTTAAAAGTGTGATCTTATAAATCACATATACTTCTTATCCAGAGGAGCATAAAACACCTTACAGCTCAGAGACGGATTATTACAGTACCTCTGTATAAAGATGACTTCATAGGAAGCAGTGCATGGGCTGATGTTTTGAGGATCTGATAAAAGCAACAGCTTCACTCGTCATCTGTATTCATGACCTGACAATGCAACTGCCAACCCTCAGGACCTTTAGAAATAATATTGGCCCAAACTCACCTCTGCACGACAGACCATGAAGGGATGAATAACGGGTATGTATAAAAAAAATATGAAGGAAATTGCTTTTGGTACAGCATGAAGAAAAAAAAAATGTAGAATGAATGCAGTTCTTTCTCGTTTAATTATTAAACATTGGTTTACTGAACAAATCGTGGAACTATTTTTTATTAAATTCATTTAAAATCACAATTGAAGGATACAAATATGCACAATACCATTGTACTAAATTCGATTTAATTCCAAATTATTTTGGTAAGATATAAAAATTGAGATACAATGATCAATATCCAAATTAAAAACAGTGATGCAAACATGTACAGTTACATTAATATGATCCCAGTTTATTCTTGAAATATTCCCAGCTCTGATTTCCAAGATAAATGTGGCTATATCTCAGAATAAAAAAGCACGAAGATTCAAATTAAGCCATGAATTATTTATAGACAAAAAAAAATTCATTAACTGTACCGAAAGAATTCAATGAATTTTTTTATATATAGACCTTTTCCAGGCACTTAACAGATATTTTATGCCTTCGGTTGACTTTCACATGCACAAAAAGAACCTGAACTTAGTTTTAAAATTCAATTGTAAAAAATGGTATATACAGATGTAGGTACAGTATTTAAACAATAAAAGCAGCATGTCCATCACAAACACAACATCATTGTATTAATTTGTATGAATCACTGTGTAAGGCTTGAAGCTTACGCTGCAATTCTAAACCGGTAATCGGAAACAGAAAGCAGTTGGAGGATGGTGTGTTTAAATCAATAATGTATCTGACTCAATTGTAATTAATCTGACTCCATTAAAGCTCCAACCAATCCTCGAAACTAGCTAAACATGAAAGCAAATTTGAGGAGATAAAGTGGGGGGAAAGTATATTAACATACTCGCCTCAGACCATGACTCAACAATAGTAAATAGATTGTACATTGAAATACATCAATGTCTATGGTGATTTCATCACTACAATTCATAAACTATCAAATGACACCAAACATGACAAAGTTATATGAAAAAAGATCACAAGCAGATGAATTGTGTATGGTGTAAAGCACAAGGTTATTGTAAGTAAATGGTAGACATGTGTATGGGAAGCTGTGATGAACTCTGTCACGCCAGGAGGACCCATCCTATGCTTGAAATGTCCCAGTAGTATATAATATTTTCTTAGCTTACAACTGACTTAATCTATTAACATACATTCCTAATTCAGTTCAATACAACCAGCATATAAGCCTGTATGCTCAGTAGTGCCATGTATCTTAATAATTATGTTATGAAAATGTATGCATTTAGAGTCTATTAATATTAAGTAATGATATCTCTCTGACAATTAATGACTAACAACTACTAACAACTATAAATATCTGTGATTTTTTTTTTAAACAAAACATTGATAGAGTCTAATACTTTCAATTGAATGAGGGAAAAGCTTGCTATTGTCCACTTGGGAATTGCAACAATATTAAGCTGTGGTGCTTGAAATGACAGATCCCCTCTATAATGCAAAATGAGCAAATTAGAAGTGGATATGGGCTGATTAAATCAGGCTAGGCGTATAATTGGCCTCTAAATGTGGAGATGTGTACTTCTTCAATGAGAAAGAGCAAAATGGCTCTTATGTGATGACGCTTGAATGATTGCAACTATATGGGTCCAAATCAAGGGCCCTCGAAAGGAGGAGAAAAAGCCACACAGACTCTTAATTGACAATTATGATAATGTACACTCACCATGACATATGAGGCTGATCTGAGTTTATTCTGTCACTCAGTATAAGTATTATATTATATGATGACATATATTAGGCTTACCTGTAAATGGTGTATTCATTCGGTGGTGCAGAAGTAGGATCGCTGCCATTTCTCCTGCCAAAGTTCCCTGTCCACAGCACTGTGTCATTATAGGTAACAATAGCAGACAATGAGGGCAGACTGATAAGGTTGATGTTATTGCGCAGTAGTGCGTCAACCTAAATAAAAGACAAAGAATTATAACAGCAATTAGGTACTTAAAATGCATTTAAAGTCCAAGTGTGATTCATGTGATTTGTTCATTATTAAGAGGTCCTAATAGACCCTTTGCTCACCAAGGCTGTACTTAGTTACTCGAAAACTAAACGAAAACTGTAAAAGGTGTGACCAAAGGTTGAAAAAGGTATATATATTTTTAAGTATATTGTATGGGTCAAAATTATTGTATTTTATTTTATGCCAGAAATCATAAAAATGTGAGGTAAAGATCATATTCCATAAACACATTTAGTCAATTTACTTACAAAAATATATATAAAAACATTTTTGATTATATGCATTGCTAAATACTTAATTTTACTACTTTAAATGTGTTTTTTTTTTTTGAGTATTGAGATATTTTGGAATATTGTATACTAACAAACTGTACACCAATAAAAAAACTCATTTATTCAGCTTTCATGTGATTTAAAAAATGGACATTTATAACTGGTTTTGTGGTCCAGGGTCACATTTATTTCCCTTAACATGAGTTTTCTCTCATTGCAGTCTTCAGTCTCACATGATCCTTCAGAAAATCATATTGGTTTGGTAATAAAGTAAATTTTATTTTAACGATAGCTGCGCTGCTTTGTATTTTTGTAGAAAATGTAATCCATTATTATTATTATTTATTATTTTAAGTTCAGAAGAACGTCATATATTTGAAATAATACTGTCACCTTTGACCAATTTCATTAATTTATGCTGAATACTTTTTGTTTAAACTATACAGTATACTAAGTAAAGATACGAATAAGGCAGTTTACATATTGGCTATATGTTGAAATCATTAGTCCACTAATAGGTTTTTTTTTGTGCTTTGCTGGTTGATAAATCCCTCACAGGAATTACATATTAAAAAAAAATTCTGATTAGATGCTGTGACAGTTATTTAACACTGAGCAGTTAGCTGTTTATAAGAAATGAAACAAAGTATTTGTATTTTTGTCATGTATGCAAACTGAATTTACCTACACTAATAGTAATCTGCTGTGGGTGTCATCTTGTGGTCAGATGGAGAAATTAATTTAGCACTGTCTGAACTCTCACAATGAATTATGAGTATGCTCGAGCTTTTCAGTGTACATCTGTTGTACACTTGTTATTGCAGTGCATTGTGGGATTGACTTTCCACTTTACAGTATGTCCACTGCGGTTTCAGACACCAGTACAAAAGGGCTGTTCTGTTGAATTTACAGGTACAGGGGGCAACTTTGGATACAGCCATTAGCTGCGTCCGAAATTGCATACTTCCATATTAAATGGTACTCTAAAAACAGTACGCAAGCCGAGAAGTATGTCCAAATTCATAGAATTCAAAAAACAGTATGGGAGAACTACCCGGATAACCTTCTATTTCAGGAGATATTCTTAAGTGTGCATACGATGGACGATACGCTATTCCATGATGTACCCCAAGAGAATTCCTGAATGGGAGTGAAAAGACCTAACTGACATGAGTAGGTCACGTGATCATGACAAAAAGGTGGATGTATTATGTCCGAGTTTCATTTATACTACTCACATTCCTATTGTGTAGAACAATGTACTTTTCTAACGGTCAAGTAGTAAATTCAAACGCAGTACCTACTGAGTAGTAGGTGATTTCAGATGCAGCCGTTGTTTTCACAGCAGAATTGGCTCAATCAATGGTATGGGTAAGGGGTAGGACTTTCTGTGTGCCCGACCAATGGTATGGTGTGTTCAAGAAACAGTACAATTTTTATGATTCTGTCTGGTGTTGCCACTGCCAAACCTCAACTTCTAAATACTACTAAATACTGAAAGCATTATGTATTTATTCAAGGTTATTTTTCTGTTAATAAACTCTCTAAATTTGTAATTTTACATTATGTTGGTCTCAATCAAGGTGGATAATGTTGGTCCTGGAGGATTGGTGTTTCTGCAGAGTTTAGCTCCAACCCTGATAAAACACACCTGAAGACTGGAGATAAAATCTGCAGGAAAAGTAGGATCAACATTCCATCAATATTACGGTCTAAATATTGTATGAAACTCTCCAGGATTATTGTGTGGATTATCTCTCTCTCTCTCTCTCTCTCTCTCTCTCTCTCCCTCCCTCTCCCTCTGTTGTACAACCATTGATTACCACATCTCACATTTTAATTCCATTTTCTGCAACAGACTTTTAAAGTGTCACTCTGTCAAATGCTTCCAGGTGCAGTAAATATAATTTTTTAGCACCACCTTCATAAATAATTAAGGTATTTCACGCTTATTATAGCCACAGGTACAGTTTGCGAAACTGCTTTTTTAAGCTGGTACACTCCAGCAAATCGCTTTAGTCCAAAGAAACCATTTAAAATAATGACCTAGATAAATAGATTGGAGTAAAAAAGTTTGAAATCCCACAAGGAAATAATTATACAAATATGACCAACATACTTATTTAGATTTTTTATTATTATTATTATCTGCAGTGTAATGGTTCATTTTGGTTCAGGGTTCGTCTTTACAAGTGTACCTTTTCAAGCGCTCCCTTTAAAGTGGGGATGGGATGCTCCAGAGGTGTTGGCTCCGGGAAGCGAGGGCACATTCTCACAGCTTTGGATCTTTCATCTGCATTATCATCTAAAGAATGGGCACAGTGTCATTCACATACAATATAAGAAAAGTGAGGACATAAGGGTTAAAGAATATTTTGTACAAACACTGAAATACAGTAAACAAAGGCAAAATACATTAATTTATAAATCAAATTAACACTAAACAGAGTTTAAATTTTCTATTATGCCCTTTTAAAGGTTATTATTGTATATTTGGTTTTGGAGGTTCCCTACAAGGTTAACGTCCATATAGGTCATAAAACATTTCCATTTTATATACTGTAGCATCAGATCTTATTTTACTATGTTTGAAATTATTGTTTTAAGCTTAAAACTTTGCCTTATTGAGATCTCACTCTTTTCTGATTGGTCAGATTATATACTGCTACAGCACATCAAGTCATGTCATTGTTATTTCAATTGACCTTACGCTAAGCCACACCCCAATCATGGCTTAGAAACCGTAGCTATGCGCACGGACTCTGTCAAGCCTTCGACTGAGGGAAACAGGCCAACATGTTGTGCATATGGATTGTGCAAATCTGACACCAGGTATCCTAAAAGTTTGGACAGGGTGGTGGAATTTTTTCCCTTTTCAAAACCTAAAACCTAAGGGGAGAAATGCCAGCGTGGATCAAGCTCTGTGAGGGGCCCTAAAGGAGCAGAGATAAGTTGGTTTTGTGTTTGATGTCTACATTCAGTGATAGACCTACTGTACGGCAATAACTGGCACATCTCTCACCCTAAACAGAAATGTGTTTCCTACAAAAATACCAAGCAGGTTATGTTTCACAGCTGTCTTTTTTTCGTGTGATATTATGAGCACTGCTCCGTTTAAGCCTCGCCATATCAGTCATACTAATAGCAATCATGTATCCATCTGTTTCAAGCTACAAATATTTGAAATTACATATTAACAGAACAAAACAGAGATATGAACACAAACTGAGCACTTGCTATCAATATACTTTCCCCTTTCTGGCTGTTCTTTCTGTGAATGAATGATGTGGAAGCCCTGTCCATGCGTGTTTCTTCGTCGGTTAGTAACGCCATATTTCATTGCACAGCAATTAATCTATCAGGCTTTTTGGCTAAGAAAGAGAAATCATGGTTTAATAAGTTATTGTTAGGTTATTTTTAAATTTCTCCTGCTGTGCATAAACTAAGCTGTTGAATGACCAGTGTATGAGGCTAAGCTAGATTTAATTTTGATTAAATTTTTTTCTAATCGGTTGCCTATTGTGTCGTAAATATACTCCTGTAATGTATACTGCAGTCCTTTTTTGTCTGGCTTTCTCAGATATCTCACCTGTTCAACAAAAATGACTAATTATATCCCTGGGAATATCTGATTCTGGAGCATACACATTGTAATAGACGTTCCAGGCACAAAAGCTTGACAGGCGTAGCAACAGTAACTGAGGATGGCGGGGCTTAGCGAAGGGTCAATTGTGCTTCATTACAATTTGTGTCAAAGAGTAAAAACAGGCAATAATGTTGTTCTAGTCAGTTCATGTTGATTCAGTTTAGTTCAATACAACTGGCATTGTTTAAGAATGGGATTCACTATCGTCAATTTATTATGTAAACTTGCTACAAACCTAGTATGTAGCTTTGAGCAGGAAGACTGAAATTATTAAAACTTTTCACACTTTCCCCAGGGACAAACAGATTTGTTACACTGACTGTTACTATTTAAAAACAGTACAAAAGGAGCACTTTAGTTCTTTGGCAGATTAATTTTGAATGCATATACAAATATAAGCACCACTTTAATTTCCATACCTAAATGAACATGAATAGTGCAGGTCACTTTTATTGATACATTTCACCAATGTGCTAAAATGTTTTAAATTGTGCATGATGTAAATAACCTGGGCTGAGCATTTGAAACAAAAAAAGTCATCATGCAGGTGGACGAAAGGTTGTAAATGTAAAGGAAGCCACCTTCGTATGGGTGAATTTGTTTTAGCACGGAATCACTATAGTAATTATTCCAAGAAGGTTATGACCACTAAATTAGTGCTTAATGCAAATAGCTTGCCGCAATTATCCATTTTGCAGGCCAGTTCAGAGTGTGAGGTTGTGGAGGACGAGGCACAATGGCATGATTAATGAGATTAGCCTTACTGTAGATTCTGAATACGAGCTATTATAAACTAAATTGGGAATCTGGAATACAAGACATGTTGGAAATATACAGTACAGGTTATAAGTTGATATTAGTTACTTTTTTAATGAATTGAATTAGGAATAATTGTATATTTCTGAATTTCTCAGTCATCTGATCAAATCAAGTCACTTATATTGTCACATCATCAGCAGCATGTGTACAATGATGAGTGAAAAGCTTAGGTGCTGGCTCCAGACAGTGCAAAATACAACGACATACTCCCAAAAAACACAACAATATATAATTAGCAATGTTAACAGTAATACGTAGAAGAAAATGAATAGGTGTACACATAGTCTGACTGTTGGTGGAAAAAATATAGTAGGCAATATTGGTTTAAGTAGGGATTGGTTAAAGTGCAGTGCATGCAACATCTTGATAGTATGCAGTGAGGGGTATGGAAAGAGTTTGTGTGAGGTGTGTTGAGTGCGTTAATGCTCACTTTAAAATATTTACTTAATGAATAACAATAATCTAATAAATTATATGTTGAAAATAAAAAATAAATATAAAGATAAAAAAATAAACAAAAAGTCTTTAAAGCAAAAATCACTAAATGAATATCCATTTATGATACTGTACTTTGCAATGATGTGATGCTTAAATTAAAACACTGCATTTGATTGATTAAACAAATACCTTAACAATATTTAAATATTTTATCATCCCTTGACTGAAGGTAGTCATGTCTGCACTGAAAACAATGCCATATATTAATACCACTGTATTTCTATCCTATTGAACTTTTTAATTAATAATTTGAATCAGCCTTTGAATTCATAATTTATATTTTCCTTTAAAACGTTTTATGTACTTTTGTCTTTTTTTTAAATTATACACTAATATTCAATTTATCTTTTAAGTTTAGCTCAAATGTTTATGAATGTAAATGGAATTTCAAATTAAAATGTTTTCACCAAATACATTTGTTTCAGCTTTAATTAGCAAAAATGTATTTCATAATTCATTTTTAGAATAATTTTTAGCATTTTTTTACCTCTATTTGATAAAAAAAAATGAAGTGGAGACAGAAATGCATGCGTGGGAGGTAGAGAGTGGGGAACAATCCACAAAGGACCTTGAGTCAGGAATCTAACTCATTTTGCAGTGAACACCTTAGTGCTATGTGTCGATGCATTATTGGCGCAGACATATTTAATAGCTCTATTAAATTTGTCTTACAATATAATAGTCTGTTTTATAGAACTATAAATATGTAGCTCCACTGCAGCTTCACCTGAAAAAACTCTTCCATCTTTAGCATTTTAAGTCAATCCTCACTCAGAGAAACAGTGGATAAAAGGATCTACTAATCACACCTCATGTAACCTCTCAGACATGCATCTACAGCATGACACCAATCTATACATATTTTTGCCATAGCTATATTGTAGAGCAGTAGTTCTCAAATTTTTTTCATCAAGTACCACCTCAGAAAAAAATTGTCTCTCCAAGTACCACCAAAATTAGCAGTATTGAAACAAAGTAGCGTAGTAGGCTCAGTAAAGCAGCTACAACTCTGCACAGTTAAAAAAACGTGGCAGATTACCTCAGAAATATAGGCTATATGTCATATATGGCATATTATATACATAATTTTTGCTAAATTTTGAAATATGTAGCATGTACATGACATATTTTATTCCTCCGCGTACCACTAGAAGGAAGCCTGCGTACCACTAGTGGTACACGTACCACAGTTTGAGAACCACTGTTGTAGAGGAATCAGTGTGATGGTGATTTCTGCAGGTACATCATATCACATTTCTTATTTAAAGTTTAAATGTGTGTTTAAATTTAAAAATCACTCACCTTGCACTAACTTGGGAAGCGTGTACTGCCAAATGAAGCAAGCGGTCATGATGATTGACAGCAGCAAGAAAAACACCAGGCCCAGTTGGGTCCATTTCACCTTCATCTTGCTGGTCTTGGTTAACCCGTCTAAGGCAAGTGCTGGTGCAGGCTTTATGAAAACCACAACAAATAAAAAAAAAATGAAAAAAAGAATGAAATAATACTTTACTATAAAATGTACTAAACTACCAGCTAAATGTTTTTGTCCTTTAGGCTTATCATGGCTGCCTTTATTTGATTTAAAAGTGTATTTAATTACTGAAATATTATTTTAATGTGACATTTATGTTGTTTTATTCAGATATATTTTACAATTGGATTTTTTCCTGTGATGTCAATGCTACATTTTCCTTTACATTTCTATAAATCGTTATCATCACAACATTATACACAACATTAAAATGCAAACATTTCTTATTATCAAGGTATTTTGTGTAAACTATTATATTTCTACAAATATGATTTTTTTTGGTAGGCAATCAATTAAATGTCTACACTCAAAACAAATACATATAAATTAGCAAATGAAACACTCTCCATGTCTCTTTGCTGAATTCATTTGTCAATGTGTTAGTCATTCAAAATATTAATATAAATGAGTGCAAATCCAAGCAATCAAAGATTGAACTGACAAAGTTATTCAAGCAGTAGAAATGATGAATCTTGCAAAACAGCAGTAAATAACAAATGAACTCACCATACATAAATCTCCATTTGTACCTTTATACAAATCTATTTCAACTAGCTGCGGCAATCCAAAAGTGTGTCGACTACATGCGGAATTCCTCTTCTTCTAAAGCGGGAAACCCCATTATGCTGTAATTACAGCCAAGGTGCCAGCGGGTGAACACAGAGCTGACTCCTGCCATGGTCACACTGACTGTGGCATAATCCTGGCCTCCAGACTCCCTTTGACAATTCAATTTCCTCTCTCACCACGGCACAGCGCCCAACCTGACATCATAATCCCAAGATTTACCCCTCTAAACCCCATCAGACCAGGGCGGTTCTTTATCTTAATCCCTGCAAATCAATTCACTTGGCTGCTGTTTCCCGCTTTCAGCACTTGTGTGGCATTCCCTGCTCCAGGCTTCCCACATAGAAAGAATTCAACTTGATTTTTTTTAGTTGTGTCCTAAAGTGTACAGATGACAGGACATGTCGGAGTTCATCTTGCAAGTGCATGAAAGTCTATAAACGTCAGACGTTACGTCAGAGTTACCTAAGGCACTCTTTTTAAAGGAACACTCCAGTTTTTGTTTTTATGGAGAGAGGTTCATTTTACAAGGTATTTAAGAGTTACAGTTGAGTTTTTAACATTTATTTGCAGTTTTACCATTCATTCAGCCAACCTTTAGGTCTGGCAGAAGCACTTTTAGCTTAGCTTAGCATCAATCATTGAATCAGATTAGACCGTTAGCAGTTCTTTGACTATTGCTAATGACAATATAGTTCTTAGACATATTGACAAAATAGTTTCTTAAAAAAACATAAAGACAGCTCAGTGGCGCAGTGGGTATTGCTGTCACCTCACAGCAAGAAGGTTGCTGGTTCGAACCATGGCTGGGTCAGTTGGCATTTCTGTGTGGAGAAATGTGAATGTTCTCCCCGTGTTTGTGTGGGTGTCTTCCGGGTGCTCCGGTTTCCCCCACAAGTCTAAAGACTGTTGTGTATGTGTGTTCATATAGTTCCTAATGGTGTGCGTTCAACATTGTGTGCAATATTTGTATGCTTATTACCACCTCTGGACATAGAGGGGTCGCAAGTCACTAGTGTTGCTATTTTAGGGGTCACGGGCTGAAAAGTTTGAGATATATAACATTTATATAATTGTAGTGGAGGAAAGTTGAATAAATTAATCGACAATGTTAATGCTCTGTTCTGGCTTTGTACTGCCAAATAAAATATTACTCAATAAATTCAATTCTCTTATGCTGGTATGCGAATGAGTAAATTACATGCATAGTCAATGCAAACATACAAATAGAGGCCACATGGTGCAAATGATGAAAATGTGTTTGCCCTTATGTGAAGAATTCAACTCAATGGCGTCTACCACAAGTTCAAACAACTGAGCTTGAGCTAAAAATTGTGTTGTGAGAGGTAAAAACATCTCATGATTAAACTAGAGATAGTGACACGATTTGGTGTGAATCCAGCATTATATTTACAGAAAAAGTAATTTGATAAATAAATAAATAAATCGAACAATCAATTAATCAATCAATCAATTTTCTTCGGCTAAGTCTAGAGGTCAATTTGGTGGCCAACTCAATTTGGCAGGGGGCCATTCCAGGGACTACAGCTGGGGTGCCGCAAAAAAAAAATAAACGGTAATTAAAATAACGGTTATTAAATTATAGAGATTTACCATAAAATAACGGACATTAAATTAATTTTCTTGAATTTTAATTTCTGGTAAATTTCTGTAATTTAATAAGTTATTTTACTGTAAATTTCTGTAGTTTAACAGCTGTTATTTTACTTTTTTTTCCGGCACCCCAGCTGCCAGAAATAAACTGTAAAATTTCAGATTTTTTTTACAGTGTAGATAAGTATAAAAAATAACACAACTGGAACAACTACAGCAGTCACCGTCATTGATTTCATATGAAGCAAGAGATTATGATGACATATGAAGAGGTGTGCAGGTGCTGTAGTTATGTCCCATTTTTTAGGGGTAAAATTAAAAGACGTTCTCCTTCACACTCTGTTTCAAGGGCCAAGGGGAAAGGGTACAAAGATAGAATTGGGATTGGGTCAAAGTGGGTATTAGACCAAACAAGAAGCACTGCATTAAATATTCTGCGCCATGTCTTTAAAATATGGAAATAGTTTTTAATCCAGTATTTTCAATGGAGTTTCTGTGCACGCCTGCTGCTTATGATGGAGCCTACATGCGTTAAAACGATTTTTTTGTTTTTTTTTTAAACCAACTGGAAGCTTTGTCTGTTTAACCCACGTGAACAAGGGGAGAACATGCAAACTCCACATAGCATAAAAGATCGGTATAGATCCGGTCTCTGAATACAGCCAGAGACTATGCTAACTGTTTTAGCCGCACAGCATGTCAACAAGCACATTCAGAAAGAAATGTGAAAACATGCTTGCCACTTTGATGTCAGCAGTCTATGGAGACTCCAACAACAGAACATTTGCAATGCTGTAATTGATTTCTGGTGCGACATGTAAATCTCAAGCTGATACAGCTAGTAAACAGAAATGGCTGCAGTTCACTCATGGAACGAGAGATCTATGCTAAATACAGTAGTGCTTTGTAATTGTCTGTGCAGCCAGGGACAGAACAGTATGTTTTGCTCAAAATATTGTTGTGTCGTGGGTGGAAAGTTCAGATTAAAGGGCAGTGTTAATATAATTTTATCCCCTTTCCTGTCACTAGAGAGAAATCTGAACATATCTTTTTACAAATGCTTACATAGAAAGACTTACCATTTTTACTGGGTTGTCACAATTTCTGAGTTGGTAAATGTACCAGGGACCCGATTATAGCAATTACACATGGAACAAAATCAGAATTTAAGATATGTCCACTGTAATGTGCACCATTTGGCTCTCAAATTGTCTATTTTTAGTCACTCAGAGCCATCATTTGGCAGCATTTCTCCAACAAAAAGCTTATGAGGCCATTAGTAGGTGCTAAATCTACTGCACTCCACTCATACAAGGCGCCTGACATGTGACTCTATAACTGCGGTCTGATTGGAGCAACTGAACTGAAGGTAAAGCTCAACACTGGGATTAACAGGAGCAGCAGGGTTTGACAGCGGGATGAAAGAAACCACCATCATTTATAAACACCCAACTGCGAAATTACTGGAGTGTGAATATTAGATTGACATCCTCTACAATGCAAGAAAAATGAGGGCATCATGCCTACAGTAATTATATTATATTATATTATATTATATTATATTATATTATATTATATTATATTATATTATATTATATTCTGCTATTATAATATTATATTATTATTATTATTATTATTATTATTATTATGTCATATTTATTATATTATATTATATTATGTTATTATAATATTATATTATTATTATTATGATTATTATGTCATATTTATTATATTCTATTATATTCTGTTATATTAATTACTATATTATATTTATTACTATATTATCTAATATTATTAATATATATATATTTCCTGTAATGTTTCTTAAAATAAAATATTATTAAAATAAATAGAACAAAAATCAAAGCAACAAAAATAACAAACAATTTTGTCCTATGAGAAATGTATTTATTCATTATTTTATGAAATTAATAATGGGATACTCTGATAAGAAATTTCTCTTAACAATAACAATGTAAAAGTATTAAAATTATTCACACACCCACACTAATACACATACGCACACACATTTATAATATAATATATATACACAAGCACACAGGCACACGCATACTAATTCATGGTCATGTAATAATGAATTCTGAGAAACAAAAAAGAGCCTATGCAATTTGATCCCACTTGTGTAACCTGTGCAGAATCAAGCCGTGAGTCTGACTGAATCAAATATGATTGCTAATGGGATAACAGTAAAGCCTCACACAGACACGCTTACATGGAAATATAGCCACAGATGGTCTCGAACTAAACAATGATGCATCAGCGGATTAGTACATTGCTTGTGACTCAACAAGAGAAGCTATATAATTGTTCAGTCTTTGTGGTTTACTTCTTTTGAAGAAGGATTTGTATTGGATTCAGTCATGCACAGTTTCTCTGCAGATCTCTACCATGTTTTTGTTGAAGCTGCATTGACATTACCTGAGGCTGGACTCCATCCACAGACGTCTCCCTCAGGACCACCTTGCTTCCCTTCGCTCCCATATTTACTCTGGCAAAGCAGAAAATACAAGCGATTCACTGCTTCAGTCAAACGATGTGAAAATGAAGCATAAATCTTATATCAGATTTTCTTTGTAGCTACTGTATGTTTCATGAAGCTAATGTTTTGTTGCATCAATGCATTTCTTCAAAAAGTGCATTAAAACAAAGTTCATCCATTCTTTGACATAAATACATCACCTTTAAGAAAACATTTTTACATATTAAATATTATCTTTAAGGATGATGTTGTTCTTTATATATACTTTAAAATTAATAAAACGATATACACTATAGTGTTTCCCAGTACTGGGTTGCCGCTGAAAGGGCATTCGCTCCATAAAACATGGGCCGCAATTGTTGGCGGTTCATTCTGCTGTGGAGAATATATACACAATTTATTCTTTTGGGTGTTTGTCATTAACACATTTTTGCCAGGCAAATCAAAGTAACAAACTTTGAGTAACAAACCACCACCAACAAAAGAAAAACAACTAGCAGAAACATGAATGAATGAATGAATCAATCAATCAATCAATCAATGAAGGAATCAATGAATTTATGAACCCAGCAGGCACTAGACATTAACATGGTGTCAGATTGGCGATGTACCCCAACGTCGTGGGCATGTTGCAGTTTAGGTGAAAATAATAATCTGATTGACATCAGAATCAAATGTCAGACCGACATTAGTGTCCAACGTCTGACAGAGGTTTTATTTTGGTTACTTTCCAAAACAACCTAAAACAATCAAATATAAACATCTAATGATTTTACAGCTTGAGATTGTGTGGACGTTACCACCATGACGTCTATCAGACATTGTTTTTTTGCTTGGCTTACCTGACGAATAAATGTCAGTATTTGACATCAGTATGAAGGTGGTTTAAGATGTTGGCTCAACACTGGATTTTGGTCACTTTCCAACACAACCTAAAATCAACCAAATATCAACGTCATTGAAGTCATTATTGGACATCAAAATAACATCTGTAAATGCTGGCTAGAAATTTATCAATTTATTAATCTAACCCCTTATTAACATCTTATCACATTGTGTGCTTGCTGGGAATAAATGAATTAATAAATGAACGAATGATAAGGAATGATACTACTGTATGAATAACAGTGTATGCTTAAATACATAATATAAAAATAACTTTATAAAAACACAAGTAATTTTAAGAAAATTGACATTTGAAAAAAAAAAACACAAAATAAATGTATGAAATAAAAGAAAATGTAAATGAATGAATAAATGAATAAATGAAATGTTAGCCCAAAGTTTTACGACAAGCTAAAGGTAAATAACTAACTAACAAACAAACTTTTTTATTAAAATGTATTAGTTTTTCTCAGTCACTTTGGTGCATTTCTCAATTAATGAAATGAGGACTATTAGTTTAATATGGAATATTAATAGATGGATGGATGGGCGGATAGATGGATGGATGGATGGATGGATACTGTAGATGGATGGATGGATAGATAGATAGATAGATAGATAGATAGATAGATAGATAGAT